TTCAAAAATATATTTCAGATAATTTTTTTAAAGAAAATTCTTTATAATTTTTTTTTGCTCCGTACCAGGGTTTGAACTTAGGGATAGGGCTTTCTTGGCTGGTGCTCTACACTTGGTCCATACCTCCAGCTAGCCTTTTTTTTGTTGATTATTTCGATCCTCCAGATCTCAGCTTCCTAAGCAGCTACAATTACAGGCATGAACCAGGCATGGCTTAAAATAAACTCAATTTTTTTTTCCCAGAGCTGAGGACCGAACTCAGGGTCTTGCGCTCACCAGGCGGGCACTCTTCCGCTGAGCTAAACCCTCAGCCCCTCAATTTTTATTCTGAATAAATCCATATTATATGGTAATTCTGCTTTAATATAAATAATAAAGGGATGTGAATTATAACTCACAAGAAGCAATCACATTCTATCTCATAAAAGAAAAATATGGGGCTGGGAAGGTGGCTCAGTGGTAGAGTGCTTGCCTTGCATGTATGAGGCCCACGGTTCGATTCCTTAACACCATATAAGCAGAAAAAGCCAGAAGTGGCGCTGTGGCTCAAGTAGTATAGCACTAGCCTTAAGCTAAAAAACTGAGGGACAGCGACCAGGCCCAGAGTTCAGGCCCCACTACTGCCAAAAAAAAAAAAATATATATATATATATATATATATATATATATATGTATGAACAAGCTGGTTTTTTCAGATTTAAAGAAGCTAACAATTATAAACTTATTTAAAATATTATAGTGACTCATTTTACAAAATAAAAAATAATAAAAATAATTTTTAAATTTCTGAAGGTTTTCTAAAGGATAAGGCATTCCATAATCATATTAATAAATAAAAAGAAATATTTTACATGTTTAGCTATTAAGCAATTTTTTTAAAAAAAAAAGACACTTTATACATAAAGTAAAAAGCTCATGTCAGATGTTCACAGTATAGTTGGTTGGTGTTTCTGATTGTCCCTAAACTAACATTATTAAGTAATTTTTATCAGCATAAAACCTAGGAAATGTTGATAAAGCTCAGTAATAATTTTATTACTACATTTTATAACATCAGTTTTGACTATTATTTTTTCTAGATGTAAAAATAATAAAATATCTCAATTTTTATTAAAAATTGTTAAATTTTACCTTCACTATTAACCAAAGTAACAACTATTTACAATAATGCTCTATGTACAGATTATACATACTTATTATAGGCATTTTCTGATTACTTCAATTGCCACTGGTATTTCTGAAGGATACCTTTCTAAGACAGAAACTTAAAGTCCAAGTGTTTCAGAACAGCAAATTCTTTCCTTTCTTTGCTCAATTTTCACACTAAATACAATCCATATTTTGATTATTATTTGCCTTAGTTTAATATTCCTTGGCATAAACCAGCTACTTAACACAGTGAAAACAGCACATAAGATCAGCAGATTTCTTTTTACTGCTTTATGCAAAGTGAAAATTGTATTTCAATACAATAAAATGAGCTTTAACTCAAGCTAGTGGCTAAAAAATGATAATAAGGCTAAACAGACCATTTGATCATCGATCTTGCCAATTAACTTTCTTCTACTATGGGGTTATAGGCAACATCACAACCACTGCTGATCAGTTCTTTGGTCACAAATATAGCTGATTCAGCAGAAATCCACTATCACCATGTTCTCTTTACCAATTTTGCTACAAGCAAATGATATACAAGTTATTGCTGGGAAAGTGTAGCAGTAACATACCCAGTTTGATTCTAAAAATAGATGACAACCTGACAGTTAAAAGAATATAATCTACTTCAAATACTAGACTGAAGAAATAAGATAATTTTCTGGACGCTGGTGGTTCATGCCTATAATCCTAGCTACTAAAATGAAATATGATATCAGAATCAACCTGGAGGACATTTGGAGACTTTATCTCCAATTCACCCACAAAAAGCCAGAAATGGAGGCATGGTTCAAATTGTACATACTTGGGCCCCTGAAAGGAGGAGAAGGGAGCTTAATGAGAGTACTAGACCTGGAGTTTTAGCACAAAGCAAAATAAAAGAGAAAACAGAAGAGAGGAAAAAAAAAACAGAAAAGAGAGAAAACAAAAAGGAAGGAAGGAAAGAACGAAGGAAGGAAGGAAGGAAGGAAGGAAGGAAGGAAGGAAGGAAGGAAGGAAGGAAGGAAGGAAGGAAGGAAGGAAGGAAGAGAGGGAGGGAAGGAAGAAAGGAAGAGAGGGAGGGAAGGAGGGAGGGAGAGAGGAAGGGAGGGAGGGAGAGAGGAAGGGAGGGAGGAAGGGAAGGAGGGAGGATGAGATCATTTAATTCAAAATATAGCCAGCCGCGTGCTAACTCTTGCCTATAATCCTAGCTATTTAGAAGTCTGAGATCTGAGGATTGCAGTTCAAAGTCAACTGGGGAAGGAAAATGCAGGAGACTCTAATCTCCAATTAACTACCAGAAAACGGGAAGTGGCACTGTAACTCAAAGTGGTAGAGTGCTACCTTGAGCAAAAGAGCTCAGGGACAGCACCCAATCTCTGAGTTCAAGCCTCACGACTATCAAAAAAAATTAAAAATTAAATTAAAATATATATATATATATTTCCAGTCATTCAGTATTTGTACTTTAGACCAATAAACATGGGCTAGATGATAGAATTTGTGTTTAGCAATCCTAGGGCTCTGGGTTCAGTCCTCAGCCCCCAAAATAAATTAGATGCCAACACACCAAATTCTGACTCACATTGCTAAAATAAACTCCAAAGACACTAACACATTTTTATCTTCAACTGTAATAAATGTATGAAATATAAAATTAAACTGCTGATCTCCCTTTAACCCATCAGCTTTATATGTACCTTAATGTAGGAATTACAATCTTAAAACAAACTATACTTCCAAATTACAATAAAATTCATTTCCAAAGAGACAAATCTGTTTCTTTTTAATTGCTTATTGGCAGCAACTGCACTTCCATCTCCAATTTTTCTTCTTACCTATAACTCTTTCTCATAATATGCTGTTCAAGTTAATGGAATCCACACTTCAGTCCTTTGGGTTTTCCTCTCCTAGAGATTAATTCCCTGAGAACTGACAAGCTTCCTCCAATCCTTCCCAGTCACAATCCACTACAGAGTATAAATCAGCCATGTTTATCTTGTCCCTCAGTATCCACCAGAAATTAGTTCTAGGGCAATTCATAGATAACAAAACGTTCAAGAGCTTTATATCAATGACACAGTATCTGCATATAACATACCTCACATCTTCCCCTATAATAATCTGTAGATTACTAATACAATACAAATATTTCTTAAAGTGTTACCAGTTAGGGAATAATGGCAATAGCAAAGTCTATATGTTTATTACAAATGCAACTTTTTTTCAAGTCTAAGCTGACTGAATCCAACACTGTGGAACCCTCTAATAAGGAAAGACTGAGTATATATGGTATTAATTTGCACACACATCAACAGTTCATTGTGTTAATACATATGAAACTCTGAAGACACTAGGTGTGTTATCAACCCTTGGCACAGTTCTAGGCCGTAGAAGATTTTCAAGTACATTTAGTGAAAATCTGAACTGAGTCTTTAAATCTTTATCTATCAGTATTTGCAAGGTATCCTTCAAAACTGTATTTTTTTAAATTAATCTTTGACCCAAGACACATTCTCTCTCTAATGAATGTATTTCAATTGACTCTTTAGAGAAATGGTTCGGATCATGCCAATACAAATGTTCCCTGCCAGATAACACAGAGTTCAGTATGCTTAATCAATAAAATAAAATGCCTGAACACCATTCTTGTAGTCCTCACAAAATTTATAAGCCTATTAATTGTAGTATCTATTGTTTTAAAAGTTATACTAAATAAAATTTGAGAATAGTTTACAATATATGTGATGTTAAGAAGGATGCCTGAAAAGCCAGGAATGGGAACAAGAAAATGAAGGGCCATGAGAAGTATTTTAACACACACTGCTTCTATTTCCTCCTTTCCAAAGAGAATTTAAATGGGAAGGAAAAAAATGGAGGCAGAACCTATAACTCGGAATAAGCCTTAAGGAAGACAAAAGATGCTGGATTTGCAATCCCTGCGTTTAACCTGCTACCAATCCACCAAGTAATTTTAAAGGATTTTTTTTTAATACCCAGAATCTTTTTGCTTCACCCAGGTCCAGCTGGATCTCATCTCACAGTATCTCCCGCCTACAGACACACACACACACACACACACACACACATACACACACACACACGCTATGAGTCTCTGTGCTCAGCTAACCATCATGAGAAAACATTAAACCATGAGGTTCATTGCCCTAATTCTCTCTGGGAAAATAGTTCTTTTTCCCCCCACAGGAAAATTATCTATTTTAGCAGGACTTGGGGGGCGGGGGGGGGGGGGGAGAACGCTCATTACCATGCAACTTCCCTATTGTCCAAGGGGAGAAAAATGGCACTAACTTTCCACAAGAGACAATTGCTCTTGCAGGGTATGCTCGCCACAGGCTGAAAATAAAGGTGGATTTGAAGCATTCCCAAGAATAGAAAAATGAGATACTTCGCTTTGCAATCAGAGCCCCTTAAACAAATCCTCCAGCATTGTGAGTGGATCTCCCCTCAACCACACACACGCACACGCACACACACCTGCCATTCAAGTAGGGTTGCCTTCAATACAAAATGCGACCCTCCGCCAGCCCGGACGCTGACAGGCACGGAGAGCGGGGGCGGCCGGGCCGGAGCGGCGAGGAGGCGGACACGACGCGCGCGGCGCGCCGCACCTCCGCGGGTCTCTAACGAGGTTGTAAAGCAGCGATTTCCGCAGCCCGGGGATTCCAGCCCTGGCCCTGGCCCGTGGCCCCGCGGCCCTCGGCCCGCGCCCCGCCCGGCGCCCACCCCACCCCCACCCCGGAGGGGCCCCGGCCCCGGCCCCGCGCGCGCCTCGGGCTCCCGGGTCCCCGCGCGCCCTCAGCACCCCGATACCCGACGCCGCCGGGCCGGCGCGGGCGCCACACCTGGATGTAGTTGTTCTCGCAGTAGTCGGCCACCCGCTCCAGATTCGTGTAGCTGTCGAAGAGGGCCCGGCGGCCCCCCGGGATTTCCTCTTCCAGCAGCATCTGCAGCTCCGCCATCTTCACATCCTCCTCCTCCTCCTCCTCCTCCTCATGCAGCCCGCAGGGCTAGCGGCGGCGGCAGCGCCAGGGAAACCCAAGCCCGGGAGAGGAGGAGCAGCCGCGACCACGACCGTAACTCGGGAGGAGCGAGAAACACCCCCGGCGCGCGCCACAGCGGAGGGGGCAGCGGGGACGGAGGCGGGGCGCGGACCGGCGGGCCGCGAGGACGGTCACCGCGGCGACGGCCGCCGGGCGCGCGCACGCGCACGCGCGCTCTCCTCCCTCTTTCCCTCCGCGGGCGCCCGAAAGATTCCCAGCCTCGCCCGCTCCTCCTCCCCACTTCCGGCGTCTCCTAGCGACGGCGGGGCGGGGGCGAGGCCCCGGGCGCGCGCCGAGCCGGGAGCGCGGTTAACTCTTGGGTCCCCTCGGCCGGCTGCGAAGGCTGCCAGGCCTCCTGTAGCTGCCTCTGATAACCCGGTGGGAACGAGCCACTCTTTCTGCCGGCTTCCTCCGGGGCGCCCTCCATCCTTGACCTCCCCACTCTCCACAGCCTGGGACCGAACCCTCGTCGAGGCCATCCGCAGGATCCCCTCGGGGCGGCCTTTCTCGGCCCCTGCCTGGCAACCCGGGGAAGAGCAGCCCACACTGGTGGCAAAGCTCGCAAAACTTCCATGCAGCTTAAGTGCCACCGTCTTCGTTTCCACCCCATCCTCTTTGTCACAAAATGGAAGTTTCCAGATCCAAATTCTGCTTCTTTTTTTAAGAGGCAGATTCTCATTATTGTAGCCCAGGCTGGGCTTGAACTTGCAATCCTCCTACCTCTGCCTCCCCAGGAGCTAGGATTACAGCAATGCCAGATCCATCCTGGGCCTTTGCTCTTTCCACCTGTGCTGTCAATAAAGCTCCCCTTCACAGGACATTTTTAAAATGGCTTTGCTGGTACTAATTTCCTTTTTCCTACGGTTGTGATGAGGTTAAAACAAAATGTGAACACATTGAAAACGTTGAGTACTACAAAGATTGAAGCTAGATAACTGATCTTGATAAAGAAGAGAGGAGTCAACTGTGCTTAATCACCAGATATTGTTAACTTTTTCCCTCAAGCTACCCTGTACAATGTAATCTTAAAAAACTAACACTTTCGACAACTGCTGGGATAAGCCCTGACCTTTATCTAAACTGGAAACTCCAGTGTGGTTACCATCTTAGCTTAGACTAGAATCCATTGTTTCAACTCTTACTCTTGCTCTGGTGGTTTCTTAGGACTTGCACATTGAATTCTTTCTTTTTCACTAGGAAAACATACTAAAAACAAGCGCTTTAATAATAATTATCATTACAGACAAAATTTAATGTTATATTGGCTTTATGATGTATACATTAACAAAATGAATTTTCATTATAGAATCAATACTTAAAATGTTGATCTAGTCTGGTTTTATTCTTAAACACTTCAAACATTTTCGCTATTAGTGTGAATGTAAACACCTTTATCAGTATGAAGGTACTATAGCTTAAGTGTGAGGAGCTTGTTCAAAATGACGGCTGGGGCTTCATGAGAGAAAATGTAGGGTCACATCTAGATATTCATTAGCTAGGGAGTAGGAATGGCAGAATTAGATAGTTAAATAAATGGCACATAAACAGGGGAACAAGGTACAAATGTATAATCAAGTGAATCAAGCAAGCTTTCCTTTCAGACTAAACCAATAGATTAAAAAAAAAAAAATAGGTGAATACTTAAGAAGCCCACCAAGTGAGATAAATGTAGATCCCAGACTATACTTATGCATTCAATTATTGCTTAGCAATTCACTCAATAAATTTCCCTGAGGAGGATTATGCTAGAAATTACTGAGCAAAGATTCTGGTACTTTCTCTAATTAATTTGTGGTTACCTCTTTGGGTATTTGATTCCTTATCAAAAAAAAAAAAAAAATCAAAGAGTTAAATCCAGGTGAGTGGTTTTCAAAATTAACCAGATCACCAGGACTTGTGAAACTGAATACTGGGGACACTCCCCCCTCCCTTGCTTATTCATTTGGTCTGGCACAATTCATGTTTCTTACAGATGTACAGGTGATCCCCAGAAACAGTCCTCCAGGCTCTATCAAGGCCTATGATTCCAATTTCTGAGCAGTTGAGTGTCGCCACCAAGATAAGTGCTTTTAACACCCAGGAAAAATCTAAAAGATCCAAAGACCAACAAAAATAAAAATAAACCTTAGCTGTCGCCAAAACCGAATTTAAAAAAAGGAAAACAACCATAAAATCTATAAAAGGGACAGGATTGTGCATCTTGTGAAAATCCTTTACTAGTTACCCATACTTAAGTTGACAAAGGTAATGAACTCTGTTTATTTTAAATGCTTTCAGTCAGGTGCCCATGGGTCATGTCTGTGACTCTTGTTACTTAGGAGACTGAGATTTGAAGATCACAGTTCAAAGCCAGCACAGGCAAGAAAGTCCATGAGACTCTGATCTCCAATTAATCACCAAAAAGCTGCAAGTAGAGCTGTGGCTCAAGGTGGTAGAGCAAAAAACTCAGTGCCCAGGCCCTGAGTTCAAACTCGAGGACCAGCACCACGTGTGCATGCATGCACGTGTGCACGTGCATGCACTCACACACACACACACACACACAACATGCCAGGCACAGTGGCTAATACCTATAATCCTAGCTATTCAGGATCAGGAGGCTGAGATCTGAGGATCTTGGTTTGAAGCCACTGAGGGCAAAAAAAAGTCTAAGATTCTTATTTCCAGGTGAGTGGTTTTCAAAATTAAACAGATCACCAAAAAGCTGGAAATAGAACTGTGACTCTAGTGGTAGAGCGCTAGCCTTGAGCACAAAAAGCTCAAGGACAGCATCCAGGCCCTGAGTTTAAACCCCAGAACAAGCACTCAAAAAAAGCTTTTCATATGAAATAGTGATAAAATAAGAGGTGCACATTTGAGCCATCAGATTAACAATCATAATAGTAGTATATGCCACATGTGAACATCTCTATATACATTCATATAAGCAAACTCATTGCCCTAGAAAAAAGAAACTGTATTTCAAGAACTCTAAGAAAGATTTTTTTTTCAGTCCTGGGGCTTGAACTCTGGGTCTGGGAGTTGTTCCTTAGCTCTTCCTCTCAGGGCTAGCACTCTACCTCTTGAGCCACAGCGCCACATCTGGTTTTCTAGTGGTTTTTTGGAGATAAGAGTCTCAGGAACTTTCCTGCCCATTCTGGCTTTGAACTGTGATCCTCAGATCTCAGCCTCCTGAGTAGTTAGGAATACAGGTGTGAGCCACCAATGCCCAACTTAAGAAAGAATTTTAATTGTACGTATTTAACATACTCATTTATGAGGTTGTGTAGCTATAATCTATTTTGAAACAACCTTTTACATTGTAGTGATTTAGGCTCTTCAAAGTCCTATATAGAATAGGTTACCTTTAAAAGCCATTATGTGATTTAGTAGTTCTTGCTTTTCTCATTTATCTACTTAAGTAATCATTTTCCCCTCATTACAGAGCATCTCCTATCTAAGAACAAGATGCTGCTCAGTTCAGGCTCAAAAGAGGTCAACTGTAAATTACAGTATAATTATTACATACTGAATGAAAATCCTTCATATCTTGGAAAAGTTTTAAATGCTCATCAAACAAACTTAGGATACATATATTTGGGAGGACCAGGAAAGCAAAGCTGAAGGCAGAGACTAGTTGGAAAACTGTTTAATCAAGACTAGGTAAAAGATGATGAGGTAAAAGGTGATGATCTTCAGGAAGGCAAGATGCAAAGAAGTGAATGTAGTAGTAAACATTCAGGAGGTGAAATCAACAGGGTTGGTAAGTGCATACAGAAGATAAAAGAGCAAGAGGGGTCAATGATGGTAATCAGGTGGCTGGACACCTGAGAAGTGGGGTAAATTACATAAGATTCCACATACTCATAAAAACTCCCCAATTTACCTTCTCTGTATGTTTTGAGATCTTTTTTCATTTTGTTTTGTTTTGCTAGTCATGGGACTTAATCACAAGGCCTAGGCGCTGTCTCTGAGCACTCTACCACTTGAGCCACAGCGCCACTCCCAGCTTTCTCTGTGTATGTGGTACTGAGGAATTGAACCCAGGGCTTCATGCATGCTGGGCAAGCACTCTACCACTGAGTCACCTTCCCAGCTTCTCTGTATGTTTTGATCCGTTGTCAATAATAACACTAACATAAAAGACATTACATTGGCTTTTGGCTACCATACTACTTTTGGGAAATTACTTAAATCACAATAAAATCTTTGAGTAGGCTATCATTTTTCTCCCCTCAAATAATGAAATCTTTAACAGCTATGGAGAAAGTCAGGGAAGTAATGAAAATTATCAGTAATCCTGAATAATGGACATGTGTCTATTACATGCCAGGTATCCAGCCAGCATTCCCCATATCTCAGTCCTCACAAATATTGCAAAGCAGGTTTTATGATTGCCATGTACAGACTCAAAAAAAAAAAACAACCCAGGGGTAGAGAAACAAATAACAAATACATTTAGAAATATATGGTGCTAGGATTTACTGACTTGCTTTCTTAAAATGTTTTTCTTTTCTATTATACTATAGTCATTACATTTAAACACCCACTTCATTTAAGCTTAAATGCACTAAATATGTATTATATAATATAAAATAATTCAAATATAATTTAAACAATGTTTAAAATATGTTTATTGTAACTCTATAAACACAGTGCTTGGCACTTAGATACTAATAATGCCCATCGAAAACTGATTTTAGAAAAACTTCATAATGAAAAGAAAGGTTAATTCCTAGCTAATGACATAACTCTTCTATACTTACATTCCACAGGAGCATGTTTTTAGATCTGGGCAGCACTGGTTCATGCTTGCAATCTTAGCTACTTGGGAAACTGAGATTGGAAGGACTGCTATTCCATGTCAGCCCAGGCAGAAAATCTTTGAGAATCTGTGTCAATGGAAAAAAGCCAAGTATAGTGGAATGTGCCTGTAATTCCAGCTAAAAATGAGAATTCTAAAATAGATCACAATGCAGACACATCTAGGAAGAAAGAGAGATCCTTTTTTATATGTAATGGACTGGAAACACAACATCTGTCTAACAAATGTGAAACCCTGAGTTCAAGTCTCAGTA